TAAGTCAAAAGTAAACATAAAATCTCCAGGATTCAAAACCTCTTTCGCAATAGATGTAAAGGAACTGATGTAAAGGAACTGATTAACGTGGCGAAGGTCTAAAATTAGACGCTTTTTGCCTGATTTTTGAACAGATACGGACAAAGGATTGATGATAACAGGAGCTTCAAACACTTCAGTGACGCAACCATTGATAATGAGACCGTTAATGGCACTTTCGACAAAAGCTGCCTGCTCCAAAGCCGAACTGTTATTTTTAGCTGTGAAGGGCGGAGGAATTTGGAGAATCGGTAATTTATAGCCATAATCAATAACATCCAGGATAAATTGAAGGGCGTGAATGTCGTTCCAGAATGCGAGGGCCCCACGTAGCCGTCCTTTAACGGACGAGTAATCATCGCCGGATTTAACCTCGAAAGAATTTCCATTGACATGAAGAAAAATTAATTCATCGCTATCCTCATGAACAAGGTCTTGTTCCGAATCGACGTCCGAAGTGAGTCATTTGGGATTCTGACCGGTATTAGAAGGAACATCAAACCGTAAATTAGGGCAGAAAGCCCTCCAATGCCCGGGTTTGCCACAAGCAAAGCACAAACCAGAAGACGATCTTTGAGACGAAAGCTGCGGGTTTACACGCGAAAACAAATTGGGTAGCTGTGAGGCGGAAAGCTGCGGAGTTGTTGAAGTCGATGCGACATTACTTCTTTGCCGAGTCGAGCGAGATGTGAAACGCTTCGTGGACCTAGCTGCTCTGGATTCGGCCCTGTTTATCTTTTTCTCATCTTCTCCGTCGTCTGCGAGATCATGGTGCTTGTATTCGAGGACCGTCTTCCACCCATACTGTGATTTATCAGCCAGTAAACATTGTTGGTCACGGAAGAGTTAAACCAGGTCTCTGAGATGGTTAAAATATCAAAATCACGTTCCAAGGCTAACTCCTTCGTTTCAGTGAAGTGTTGTCTACATTTGAGAAGCTCTGCGTTAAGATGGGCTATTTCCAAGAGCTTGTTTTGGTTTTTATACACCGTTGATTGTGCATTCTTTGTCAATTGTATTCTGTTACAATTTGCGCTCACGTGTCCAACTGAGTCAGGGATGCGACGAGTCTGTCGATTCCCATGAATAACAGGAATCCTATTGCTAGTGGTATCTGGACCTGGTAATCGATGGATGTCGCCACTCAGTGAAATACACAGTTTCATAAAGTTAAAACCAGCACAAGAGTTAGGATAATATGAAATTCTTTGTTTAAAATATTTTCGCTGCGGATCAGTGAGCCGGCACGTTGAACGACTGCACAGCCAAAGAGAAACAAAAGGCTCAGGAGTGGTATTTTGAACCCTTACAAAGGATGGCAGTTCACAAGGCAGATTTCCATGGGCAAAGCTAATCCATAACTCATCTGAATTGCAAAAACCTCCAAAAGCATGTCTGGTAAGCGAAGAGTAGATCGAAATAACGCTTCTTTCTTGAATATACTGCGCAAAGCCTCTAGAAAACTCCAGTTCACGACGTCCTAAGCTCACTCTGTCTGCATAACGTAATAATAATAATAATAATAATAATAATAAGCTTTATTTCAACTGATAAGACTAATCAGCAATCTAATAGATTGGCTGGTATGAACTAGTGATCAGCATGATAAATAGTATCAATTAAAATCAAAGGAGAAACCCTATAAAGAACTAAAGTGTGAATTAAAATAACATAAAATATATAGAAAAGCTAATACTTATTTTAAACTACATAAATGATTAGATTTATCGTGTTCTAAAAAATATTCAAAAACTATCGCCTTAAATTTAGATAAAGACTGTATCTCTCGAATGTCCTTTGGTAAAAGATTCCACTCCCTAGCAGTAGTACATTTGAATGACGTTTGACCCATTTTGGTCTTTGTAGCAACAATGTTCAATAAGGTAGAG